GAGTTAATGTACTGGAGTAAAATTTAAAGAGTTAAAATTTTAGTCCACTACATTAACTCCTTCACTAAAATTAAAATAAAGTAAGATTTTAACTCTCTAAATTTTACTCCTTTTGCTGCAACTTCAAAAGGGTACGACTTTTATAAAATCCCGTTTGAAGTTAAAATTAAACTCTTTTCCTACAATGTACAGACATCGTACTCCATAATTAATTTTAAAGAAGTAGCAAACAGTAGTTTCAAGTCTGAAAAAAGTAAAAAAGTAATAAAAAAGTAGCTACCCAAAAATAATTTTTTTTAAATAAATATTTAAATACCTATTTTGTTTCCACAAGAATAAAAATATTTTAAATGATTTCAAAGTAAAGCATTTTTGAAATTTAACTATTTCTAAAAATTACAACTAATTCTTCCAAAAACAATTATTTTCTTGATGAAATTTTTAAATAAAATTATTCAAAACTTTAATACTTTTATTCTTTTAAATTTAATTATTTCTAAAAATTTACACTATAACGCTTCTAATACTCAATTATTTTATAAATTTTAACTGAAATTCAATTTTAAATCAATTCTTATTAGAAATTTATTGAATAATTAAATATTTCTTAAAACTGAATTCTTATAAAAAAAAATTCGCTGACTTTTTCATGACTTTTTCCCTTACTTTTTACTAATTTTATTTTTACTTTTTTGGGACAAAAGTTTGGAAATTGACATATTTTACAATAAATTAATACCTATCTAATGATAGAAACAAACGGTAATAAAAATCTTTAAAATTTTGTTAGATTAAAAAAATTTTTAATTCATAAAAAATTTTTATTTTTGTATATAGAAATTTCCCTGACTTTGAATGAAATTCTCTGACATTTCCAGACTTTTCCCTGACCATAAATTATCAATTTTTTTTAAATAATTGAATTCCAACGAAGAATTTCACTAAAATTTTTGAAAATAATTGAATTTCTACGTATTAAAATTATTGAAAATAATTAAATTCTTTCAAGAAATTTATTTAAAAAATGTAATCAAAGTAATTAAAATTCTGTAATCAATTTTATTATTTAGGAATATAATTGAATTCTTACAACGAATTTTATTAAAAATTTTTAAAATAATTAAATTCCTCGGAAGAATTTTATTAAAATTTTTTTTAAATAATTGAATTTTTGCACAAAACTTTATTAAATTTTTTTAAATAATTGAATTCTTCAGAAGAATTTTATAAAAATCATGTTAAATAATTGATTGTCTTCGGTACTATTTTAACACAAATTAATTAAAATAAACTGCAATTTTATAATTCATGAACGATTAAAATAATCCATCGAAGCATTTGTTTTTCAAAATGGTTTAGAAATGATTTCGTTTTCATTTAGACACATTATTGCCATAGAAAAAAATTAATTTCCATTGGATTATTTTAATCCTTCTTGATATGAATTTAAACTGCAATGCTTTTTAATACACTGTAAAAAAAAAAGAGTTAAAATTTAACTCCGAACAGAATTCTATAAAAGTCGAACGCTTTTGGAGTAAAAAAAAGTAAAATATATGGGAGTTAAAATTTAACTCCACTGAGAGTTAATTTGAACAGTGATATAATATTATTATTATAAATAATAATACTTAAGGGAGTAAATTAAATCTCTTTTTGGAGTAGATTTTTAACTCTAAACTTTTTACTCTCTACTCCAGTTACTGTTTACTCCTAAAATTTTTTACAGTATTTGAAACGCATAGAGGATAAAATTTAGAAAGTTGAGTTGATTTCTAACTCAAAAAAATTTACTCCCAACTCCAAATGCCATTAATTCTGAAATTTTTCTTACAGAGTACATATAATAAATTATATATGTATGCGTAATACATGTGTATATAAATGTGTGTAGATATGAGGAAGAAGAAGGTTGGACGCGTGTGCGCACGAGGGAGATTTTCGCACTCGATAATGGCAGGTATCTATCACTCGTTAAAGAAACGACGTCGACGTCGTTTCTAACATACACCACCGCCATCGAAACGGGACGGTAGAAAGGCATTGCGCCATTTTGAAACATTCATGAGATAAATTTACATTCACGCTCCTTATTATTATTATTATCCGATAAAAACTGGGTGGTTTTTATTTTCTCCCGCAAAATTTACCTGCTTTTTATCATATCGTTTGCAGAAAATTAGAATCGATACTCTTTTACTTTTTGCTCGTTAAATCTTTAAAATAATATTAATATTATTTATTTTTACTAAAAATATTCAGTAATTAAATAAATTAAATTAAATTTTTCGATTTTATCACTCGATCGTTTTAGTTAATTTATAATCATCGAGATGAACGATCACTCAGAGACTCGGAGTGTGACTTCATTGAATAAATTAATTAAATTGAATTAAAAATATTCATTAAATAAATTAAAATTATTTACACTCAGGGAATAAAATCCAATGGGTTACATTTACTAATATAATTATTTTAAAACAAAAAAAATCAACTCTTTAGAGTTGAATTAACTCATCAGAATTTTTTTTATTCTAAATTTTAGTCCAAACTTCATTAGCTTAAAAATCGGAAATCCAAAAATTGAAAAAAAAACCCAGGAAATATATTCAAAAAAATAATATTATGAAACACCTTATGCAGAAACAAAATGAAGTGGATCTGGAATTAAATGGAGTTAAATATATTTAGAGAAATATATTATATATAATAGAGGGAATTTTAATTTATACGTTGAATAAAGTTTGGCAAACAAAACATTTTTGTTTAAAAATCATAAAGTCAGCGGAAGTTTGAAGAAAGTCATGTTTAAACAAAGAAAAATGGTGCGGGTGGTTTAAAAGGGTTAAACAACGGAAGGCGTGGATATACGCGCTCTTGTTTTTGCGCTGAATTAAAAGCCCTTTTGTCAACAAGCGCCATTCAAGAGTCAAATAAATTGTACCGCCTTCCGAAAAAGTGCGACCATAATGCATTTTTTTTCAAGAGCACTTGCCAAAGAATAAAAGAATATAAATTAAATCGTTACTTGAATCAAACCCATTTAAATATAATTTTTTTAATAAAATTTCTCTATACTCTATAAAGCGTTTTGTTTGATTTAAAGAATGTTTACGTTATTTTATTAATAAAGGTGGACACTTTTGAAAATGTAATAATATAAGTAATATAATTTATTATTAATATTATTATATTAGCAATATAATTTATTATCAACATAATTATGTTACCAATATAATTTATTATCAATATAATTATATTAAGAATATAATTTATTATCAACATAATTATGTTAAGAATATTTAATTATTTTCATAAATAATAAAATTCTTTGCAAGAATTCAATTATTTACAAAAAACTAATTATATTGAAAAAATTAAAGAAATTTTTTGAAAGCATTCAATTATTTTCAAAATCTTTAACAGTATCTATTCCTTGAAAGAATTCAATAATTATTCTATATACATATTTTAATAAAATTTCTTGAATGAATTAAATTATTTTAAAAAACTGTAATAAAATTCTCACACGAATTTAATTATTTTCTAAAAATTTTTAATAAAATTCAATAATTAAATGTTTAATTTCAATTATTAATAAACATAATTATTTTACAAACTTGAAAGAAATTCTTCATAAAATTCAATTACTTACAAAATTTCCAATTACAATTATTTAAATAAACTCCATATATTATTTTAAAGAAATTGAAAGAAATTCTCCAAAAGAATTTAATTAGAATTTTTAAAAATTTTAATAAAATTCTACCCAAAAATTTAATGATTTTCAAATGTTGTGATAAAATTTTTCGAAGGAATTCAATTGTTTTAAAATTTTTTTATAAATTTCTTTGCAAGAATTCAATGATGATCAATACCTACATTAATAAATGACGCATTACTTTAGATTACTTATATTTCTAAAGCTAATATTTGTATTTTATCTAAAATGTTTGACAATAATAGAGGAAAATCATTTTTTAATACATGTAACTTCATCTATATTTTAAAACGTAAACGATAGCACAGGAAATATAATAGTATCTTCAAAGAAAACTAAACTTCAAAGAGAGCGATTGTTATCAATTATTGCGTATAAATATATATCAATTTATAACTTAGAATAACTACAAAAAATATGTTTTCTCTCAAGGACAATTTTTATTAAAACAACATACATTCTAAATATTGACTAACAGTTCAAAAAAGTGATTTTGAAACCTAAAATTGACTTACTTATATTTTAAATTTAAACAAAGGCTAAGTCTGAAAATAAAATTCTTAAATTTAAAAATCTATTTGTATTATTCCATTTCTATTGAAAAAATTTTTGTGAATTACGATGTTTTTATTTTAATTGAATATAAAATAGTATATTTAGAAGAAAACCAAATATTTCTTTAAAAATTAACAATTTGAAATGAATTGAAAATCTTCTAAACTCTAAAGCTAAGAAGATTAGAAAGAAAAACCTAAATCAAGTGCACTTTCAGCCGAACTTACACTTACTCTACAACTTTTATATTTTTGTAAATCAAAATAAATAATTTCTTTAAAAAAAGAAGTATAAAAAAGAAATAATTGCGATTAGCTCAATATTGAAGGATTTTGTTTAGATAATAATAAGTATCCGAAAAATTAACCATAAATAAAAATAAAATTTAATTTTGTCTCAATTTTGATTAATTTTAATTTTGTAAATAATATAATTTTTTTACAATACATAAAAATACTAAATATCGTAATTCGTAACTACATAACATACAAACCATAAACTTTTGTGATTATCAATAAAATATTTAATATATATTCACTAATCTTATCAGGCACATCTTATCAATTTTAGTTAAATACTTTTTCAATTTCCTAAAGTAGGATTGAAGTTAATGTTAATGTCAAGTCAATCAGTTGTGATACTGTGTTCGAAACGTACGTTTAATTTTTCCTTTCACTCAAAAGTCAGTCAACTCTAGTCTTTTAGTTTTGAACTAAAAGAAAAAATGTCCAAAACACCACTTTGTAGATCAACTGCTTATTTGTCCGGTGTCAAGGATGAAGTAAATGAACTTAATAGACAGCTTTCTTACCTTAAAGACGACATTTCTAGTTTACAAGACATAAAAACAAAATTATTGTTAATTCAAAGGAATCAAAGGGAAGACAATAAACTTATTGAGCACAATTTCAAGTCCAATGAAATTAATCAAACACTAATGAAAACTGAATTATCATCAGAAATTAACGACTTAAAAGAATCTTTAAATGATGGGAAAAAGATGTGGGAAACGACATATACTGCATTACTATCAAGACTCGAAGCTCAGTTTGAATCTATTAAACATGAATGTAGTGAATTCGAGGAAAAAATTATCTCTAAACAAAATAGTTTGAAAAGTAACGTTGAAATCCATTGGACAGAATTTCTTAAGCAGTTGGATGATAGCAAGGAATTTTCTCAGAACATTTTTCACAGTCTACTCAAATTTATTATTAATACTAAGAATGAAATCGATGAACGTCAAAAAAAGCAAGAGGACCTAATTTTTAAAAAAATCACTAATCTTGAAGCGGAAATTCTCAAAATAAATGAAAGTACAAGAAAAAAGTTTCATCAGCAAGAAGAAGAAATCAAAAACAATAATACAAAATTCACTCAACAGATTATGAATTTAAAAACACAAACTAATACTGATTTGGAAAAAAATGACAAAGATTTACGTCAATTAATTGAGGAGAAATGCATCGATATTAAGGCAGAGCAGAAAATGCAAAAAGAATCAGTTAAAAACTATTATGATTCCTTTCATGAAACATTTTCTAAAAAACAAGATAATCTACAAAAGGATGTTAATAATAAACTATTAATAGTTGAAAATATTCACGAAAATCAAGAAACATTATCCCAAAAAAATATCCATTTAGAAGATAAATTAGAAAATACTTTCCAAAAATATGATGATAAATTGAATACTAAAGTTTCCATGTTAGTCAAATTATTCAATGAAAAATATGGAACTCTCAAGGATTATCAGAAAGCTTATGAAAGAACATTTACAAGTCTCTGTAATTCTCTTATAGAGGTACAAATTCTTCGTGTAGAAGAAAATCAGGGCAATAATTTTAAAGAAGTAATAACGAATGCGGAAAATCAAAAATCCATCTTCGATGAACAAATTTCAAGTGTAAATGCTGATTTAAAAAAAATTCAGAACGAAAATGAATTTTGTTTAAAACTACTAGATACGAACAATTTTAAAGAAGAATTTAAAATGTTGTCCAAGGAGAATAAGATGATAAAGGATGAAAAACAATTTATCATTAAACTATTGGAGGATCAAATTTCAACAATTAACAGTTCTTTAGTAAAAATTGAGGAAAAAATATACAATTGTCAACAGCAATACGAAAGTCTTAGAGAATAGAAAATAATTGACATATGACAAACGTTAAATTGATGATCATCTGTAAAGATAAATCTTTTCCAAACTAAATTGGACTTAATTACCGGAAGTGTCTTTCACCTCAAATATATAGGAAATCTTCAAGTAAATGAAAATCTCCAGAAGAAAATTGATAGACAATGGTCAGCGAACGAGAAGAAGAGGAAAAAATTTTCTAAACGTATTAACTATTTTAATTATAATCACATGTTTCAAAATTAGACAAAAAATTCTAGTGCAAATTAAAAAATATTCTTAATTTTTTAAATGATTTTGAATTAGTATTGTACTTTCTCTAAAAAAAATTTGTATATGGGTCAGAATTCGTGAAATTTTCACAGAAAATAAAAAGTATTTTTTTTAAATCGAAATGTTGAAAAAACATTTCTATTTGGCCTTAAGAATGTGTCCACCAAAAAACAGAAAAAAAAATTATTTTTTATAAAAGTTATTGCAAAATTAATTTTTTTGCAACTTTTTAAACAAAATTTTATTTCTCCTAAATGAATGAACCGATTTAAATGAACCAAGCGGGAATATAAAGAGGATAAAATATACTTTCGTTTAGAATTAGAAAATTTTTAAAAAGTTTATTTTTTAATAATTATTTAATAAATTTTTTATAAACAATTAATTTTTTTTAATGTTCTACGCCTTTTAAAAATTTGAAAAAAATATTAACATACACTTTAAACTATAAGAAATAAAAATCCGTTGAGAAAATTTTGGAGCGACAATTCACACAGAATATTTTTAAAAGTATTTTCAAAATTTCAATTTAATTATTTTCTCGAATTTTTAACAAAAATTCTTCTCAATATAAATTATTTTTAATAATATATGAAAAATTTCTTTAAGAATTCAATTATTCAAAGAATTCTATAATTTTGAATTAGGCAAAATGGTTAATGCCTTGATTTACTAAGTGACTTTTTGCTTTTGAATTAGTAAATTTTACTAATAAATAGTAATTTCTATTAATTTATTAGTAAAATTTACTAATTCAAAATCAAAAAAAGTCAGCCACTAATTCAAATTATTCAAATTTAGAGAATAGTAAAAGTTATTCTTTAGAAAAAATGTTTAATAGTAAATTTTACTACTTTGGAGGAACACTGAAAAACATTTTTTTTAATACAAAAATAAAATTATATCAAATTAAACTTAATTTTAATTGAATCAAATTTATTATCTGTTGAATCAGAATTATTATAATTAATTCAAAAGTACTTTTTGGTTAACTAAAGGCTGAACATTTGATTAAAATATTTCATTTTCTCATTAAATTTTACCAAATCTAAAGTAAATTTTACTAATTTTTACTAAAACTTATTTCGAATAGGGTAAATGCACTAGTAGTCGGACACTTAAGGATACGATCTTATATTATGCTTTTTTTCTTGAAATAGCAAATATCTACTGTGTTTATAAGCACATTATCAATTAAATGAGTTCTTCAGGATTAAAAATCATGTAAATTTGTTACAAATACTTGAGTATTTAATAAAATATAAACATTTTAATGAAAAATTACGAATGCTTTAGTAGTCGGACACTTTTTCCCCTTGTTTCTATAGTCGGACATCTGTCAGATATTTTGAATTTATAAAGTAAAAAAGATAATTTTTTAATTGCTATCGGCTGGAAAATGGAATTAAACCATACTAGAAGTTATTAATATAATATTTAAATCGTATAAGTTTTAAAATTTATGATTAATTATCAGCGAAACTTTGTGCTACTCATTGCGCTACTCGAAAATGGTTGTATCTATAGTCGGACACCACGATTTTTAAAATATTAAATAAAATATTTATTGTTTAATTATTTTGTAAAATAACACTAATTTCATAAAATATAAACTTTACACATTCGTCCAGTATATTTTTTTAAGTAAATATCACAATGCATTATTATTTATTTGCCAAAAAACATGAAAGTGTCCGACTACTAGTACTGTCCGACTATACCCGCACTTACCCTATAAGTAAAAATCATGAAATTTTAAAATAAAAACAGCGTTTTGACGAAAATTTTTGTTCAAAATTTAGAAAAATTGCAGACAATGAAAAAAGGTAAAATGTACACTAAAAATAAAATTTATTTGAAACAAATAACCGACTACTTGACTATTATCAATTAAATATTTACTTGAATCAAATAATTGTTATTTGAATCAATAAAATGATGCTTTTTGCTTTTCAATTTGTAATTTTTTTTAATAAATTCGTGGAAATTACTATTTATTAGTAAAATTTACTAATTCAAATGCAAAAAGCCAGTCAATTAATAAAATTATTAGACATTTCTACTAATTTAAATTTAAAGTAAAACAAAGAAAGTTTTTTATTTTATTTATTTTATTCAAAGAAAAATACTGAAATCAACTTATTTACAATTCCATTTTACGAAATTTCAAACAAGTTCACGTAACTTTCACTTTTACTCAAAAAATTTTCACTTTCATTTACAAATTTTCACTTTCACTCAGAAAATTTTTAGTTCAACGCAAAAAATTTTTGCTTTAACCCACAAAATTTACACCACCATTCAAAAAATTCTCACTTTCAATGAAAAAATTTTCACTTTCTATGAAAAAATTCCAGATTACACAAAATTTTTTGATTGAAAGTGAAATGTTTTTGAGCGAAATTGCAAGTGAAAAGTTTTTGAGTGGATGTGAAAATTTTTTGGGTAAAATTGAAAGTGACAATTTTTTGTGTGAAAGTTACAATGAAGGCACCTCAGTTTCAGAATTTAAATAAAAAATTTTGAAAAAATTGTAACTTCTTTAGAATTTTTTAATTATAATTATTAAAAATTAAAATTTTCCAAAACATGAAATTTAAATATTTATAATTCATTTCCATTATTAGAATATAAATTTACTATGAAGGTAAAGTAAATTTTCAGAAAAACTATATGAAGAAAAATGTCGAAGAGAACTGTTATCAAAATGGTGCAAATTTAATATTTAATTTTTCTAATTTAATTAAAATTTTCTAAAACATGAAATTGAAACCTTTCGAAAGTCAATTATTTATAATTAATTGCCACCATTAAAATATAAATTTACTATGAAGGTAAAGTAAATTTTCGAAAAAATTATTCGCGAAAAAAATATCGAAGAGAAGTGATATAAAAATGGCGCGAATCTAAATACAGAGAGGAAAACAATTATAATCTCGATAATTGTAGAGAGAAAAAAAGAAAGGAAAAAAGAAAAGAAGCTCCCGGTTGTTTGGTATCGGGATAGTACTTGTGTTTGGAAGAAAGCCTCCAAAGTAGTGAAATTTATGAAAAGGAATAATGGTTCTCCATGCGATTCCGGTACCGCATGGACCTCTGGCAACCCGAGGCAAATTCGAGGAGGCTCCTTTCCGGCGTCGCCATTTTATCATTAGGGTTTCAATCGAGATTCGAGAACTGTAAGTCATTTATATCCCCGTTACACTTGGCTGTCCTAAAAGGATTTATGCTGGTAGCACTTGAAAGAACCCTTTGAAAAACATTTTTCTACTAATGGCTCCCGGGCTTTTGGTTTGTACCCTCCAATGCGGAAGCTGTGCCGTTTTCTAATCCACACATATATATATATATATATATATACCTTCCTTTTTTTTCACTCTCTCGTCTCCCTTGATATATCTTCGAATCCACTCAGAAATAATTTCCTATGTGCAGTCACGTGGTACCCTCTAAGAGCAAGAGCAATTGCGAAAATGTACCTTCAAAAAATACTTCACATCTCTGATAGAAAAAAAAGCAAATCAGTCCGATGACTGTATGCAGTTGTTTCCACCCCCACCGAGACAGTAATTCACAGATGTTCCGTTTTTTAATTTCTCTCTTTAATTTTTTTTTAAACAATTCTCTCCGACGAGATTCTTTTTTTACTGGAAAGAAGTGTATTTTTCTATCTCGTCAGGAATATTTTTAATATTTACTTTTTGCGCTTTAAAAATAATTTAATAAGGAATTTTCCATTGTTCCATTTTTTAAAAGGAAAATTTATAAATTCAATTTTTGTAAAGAAACAGGTTATTTTTGTTCAAAATATTTTTTGGGGTTTAGTGAAGAAAGAAAACAATGTAGGAAAGGAGTTGAATTTCAACTCTCAATGGAATTCTATAATAGTCGCAATTTTTTGGTTCTTTGAAAGAGAGAAATATTTTCGTAAATAATAAATAAAAAACGAAAGACTTTTGTTACTTATATAATTAAATTCAATATTTTCGTAAATTATAATTGACGAAATAATTTCTAAAATAATAATCTATTAGTAATTTTGCAAATAAAATTCAATGAAATATTTTCTTAAATAGCAAAACGAAAAAATTTCGAAAATAATAATTAACAAAAAACATTTGTAACTCATGCTTAATTTCACTATGTTTTTAAATTATAATTAACTTTCGTAAACAATAAATCGAAGTAATTTCGTAAACAATAAAACAAAATATTTTCATAGATAATAAAACAAAATAGTTTCTTAAATAACAAAAAAAAAAATTATTTTGAAAATAATAATTAACGAAAGATTTTTAGAACAAAATAATTAAGTTCAATATTTTTTTAAATAATAATTAACAAAATAATTTCTGAAATAAGAATCAAAGAAAAAATTTTTTAAATACCATTCAACGAAATATTTTAGTAAATAAAAAACCAAATAATTTCTAAAATAATAACGAAATATTTTCGTAAATACGAAAACGAAGTAATTTCGTAAATAATCAAACTAAATATTTTCACAGATCATTATACGAAATATTTTCGTAAATAATAGTTAACGAAATAATATCTTAAATAATAATCAAGAATTTTGTAAATATCATTCAACGAAATATTTTCTTAAATAACAAAACGAAATAATTTCGAAAACAATTAACGAACGACTTTTGTAACTAATAATTAACTTCCATATTTTTCTAAATAACAATTAGCAAAATAATTCCGAAAATAATAGTCAAGGAAAAAAA